GTAAAAACTTCTTTTTGTATTTTATTCTTAAATACTTTGCCAAATTTTAAGAGCATATATTATTACTTAAAAGTACCCAATTTGTGAAATAAATTTCAAAAATAATGCGGGTAACCTAATGTTTTCTAGGAAAAATTAAAAATCTTAACCTAACTTTTATCATTTTCTATACAATTTCAGTAACTAGATAAAAATATATGAATATTAAGAAGATTGAAATAAATAGTGTTATTAGTATTTTTTTAGAATTATACAATATGTAATGGATACTTTATATTAGATAACTATATACAATTTTTTTTCGGAATTCAAAATGAGGTACTTTTCAAACATACCAATAATTGTATATTTTATATTGTGCGGCTCTTATTATTTTTTGCTCCATATACTGTGACCTACCTCACCTAGGTATCTTCACAATTTATTGATTCCAATTAATAAAAGTTGCATTCTTACTAAATTCAAATTCCTTCATTTTATTGAAAAATCTTCTATGATATATTTTTAAGAAATGCCGATTCATTCTCACTAGCTAATAAATTAATAGCTCAGCTGAATTGACTTAAAACAAAAATAATAAAATTGAACTTTATATTTTTTAACTGATACTCTTCTTCATTTTTTACATGAAAACAGCCAACAGCAGCCAGAGCCAACTTTCCCCAGGAACTTTCGTTACAACTTCTAGTGGATACAACCATGGGTGAACTTCGTAATAGTTTTATATTCATATTTCTTTATTATTGTGTACTGTAATAAGAATTCGTGCAATTTTAATTCTAATAATAAAAAATATATGGTTATAATCGTGTTTTACTTCATAATAAGATGTATTTTTTGTTCCACAAATCCAAAATTATAATTTTTCGTTTTCTTTTTAACTTAAAATATTTCAAATTTTATCTATCACAGAACATAACCCAATGGATTATATCCATCTAAGTATGTTGAGTGAAGAATAAAATGTTTGAATCATTTTAAGTAAAAAAGAATGAAAAATTATAATTTTGAAAACTTAGTAGTGGTTTATTAGAAAGGCCGAGTTTGAAAAACCCGCGCTCATTGACCCCTACCGCCATCTATATAATAAATCTTGAACAAATTTTCAATTATTAGTTATCTTCTTTTTTTTTAACTCAACTATTTGCAACCGCTACGGATGGCGCTGAAAGATGAGTAAAATTTTTCGCTGTTGAGTGGCCCATCTTTAAAGGGTATGGTCTGTGGTTAGTTAGGTTAGTTATTTTATGGTTATTTTGTGGTTCATGTTGAGTTTATTTCGTACTTTAATTGAAAAATGTTTGTGGTTTAAGTTATTTTAGTGCATTTAATTGCTTAAAAATGCCAGTGTGTGCTCGAGAAAGTATCTCAAATTCAGTTCGATAACGTTTCATAGGTAAGTAAATAAAAACCATTACCGTTGCATCACACTTTTTTGAGGGGTATCATAATTCAAAATAAGGTTTAAACAACAATTTATTTTAAAGTTTAAAATAACATTCAACGTCGAATTTCGAATTATTTTATTATGCCTGTGTTTAATAACTTTAATTTATTAATAGGCTATCTTTAAATTAAAGTTATATTGTTATGCACACTGTACATTTAAGAAGGCTCTAGTGGCATTTACTTTAGTTATAAAATCTTAGTATTGCTTTATTTTAATGACAAAATATATTGTTAGTACACCATAGTTATTTTAAAGTATACTATGTTGCATTCTGTATTACATGAAATCCTATATACCTACCTATATGAATAAGAAAACACTATTTATACCTATTTAGGTTTCCAAAAGATCCTCAAACTAGATATATGTGGATGAAGAGTTTGGGTATACATGAGGATGAAGAGTGTATTCAGTAGAATTTGTTCAAGACATTTTGAGGATTCTGCCTTTGCTAAGTCTCCAGGAGGAAAAATGTTTTTAATGAAAGGAGTAATGCCCTTATTTTACTCACATCCTGACCCAGCAAACAATGCCTTTAAGGGTTGATACTGGCGTGACGTTTCTTGCCGCATCAGAGAATTGTAGGGCCTGCAAGGCGGTACTTAATCATCCCGCATATTATATGGTAGGGCGGCCGCCAGACGGTCCGCTTGTTCCTTGCCGCCACCTCATTTAAGGGCCTTTTATGTGATGATTTCGGTATGATCAAGTTCAATTGCATATGTAAAATGGAGGTATGATTAAGGCTACGTGTATATTCCTATTAATATACCTTTAAAGGCGGTACGCATAAACTATGTCGTTTGGGCAGCGGGTAATTGTCGCATTGCCGATCAATTTTTACAGGGTGTTTCAAAAAAAATAAAATAGCCTAAAATATAAATCAAAATATATTTTCCAATAAAATATGTACAAATAAAAAAATACAAATACAAAACAATGGACAATTTCAACTGAAGACATTTGCTAGGGGTGGCGACTGTTTTGGCAACAATCGGTTTTGTAATACAAGCAAACTGTAATTTAAAAGGAGACTGTAACTATAGCTATAAATAAAAGTTTCCTTTTAAAGCATAGTTTGCTTGTATTAGTTTCTACATAAACCGATTGGTGCTCTTAATAATCTTCCGTTGAAATTGTCCATTTGTTTTTATACTTATAAAATAAATAAAATTCTTGTAAAATAAATCATTAAATTTTATGAAATAAATAAAAACTTGTAAAATAAAAAACAACTCTTGTAAAATAAAAAAATAATCAAAAGAAATAAAAAACATAACTCTTGTATAATAAAAAAACATAACTCGTGTAAAATTAAAACAAAAACAAAAAACGTTAATTTTCATCCGCCCTTTTGCGTCGGGACCTACCGCCATCTCTGTCATAAGCAGTCCTCAGCCACGATTTTATGACTTGCTCAACATTGTCTAATAATGCATTAGAACATATGGGATTTTTTCTAACTGATACTAAAAAAAACAAACTGCAAAAATAAAGAAAATACACAATTAAGAAAATATTACCAAGGATCAGATTGATGAAATTTCTCAATTCCTTTAATCCGTTTTTATTGTTCCGGCCAGTCCAATTAGAGTTGACCGCCAGTTGGTTGGAAATGAGTTTGGTCAAAATTTTTCGAGTCGTCTCCCCAACATCTTTTCCTCCAACACAAGATAACCATTTACACTAAAAACATAATAAATGTAAATTATATTTGTATACAAGAAAAAAAAAATGGAAAAGATTTTATTACCGAACACTTTAAATAGCAGAATGAAAGAGAAAAAGAACCATAATTTTAGTTAACAAAATTGTCACTGATCAATTTTAAGTGTAATTAAACAGTTTACTATGATTACAAAGTTTCAAATAAAATTGTGGCTTGAAGATGTTAAAATACCATCGAGATAGTTTATTTCGATGAAAAGTCCGAATATTTTTAATAAGGATTAGTTATCTTATTTTACTTTGTACATTTATACTTACAGCTTCTGAGAATTTAGTCTGGTCACTTAGTTCTTCATTAAAAGTTTCCAAATCTGCAAAAGTAGTCAATTGAATAATTTCAGTAGGTATGTCATTTGGGGCGGCCTGCCTTCCACAAACTCCAATGAGAAATTTTATGTTTTCTTTTATTATGGCCAGCTGCTCGAACATTTCCGTGAGTACCCCTAAAAAAAGTTTTATTTAGGAAATATACTTATATTAATTTGGGATTATTTCTGAATTTTTATATATACATATTAAATTAGGATAATTTCTGAATTTTTTTAACGTTCCAATGGTTATAACATTAAAATGTAATGGAAATTTTCATAGGTATAATAGAATATCATATTACTTTTATTATCCAAACATTGGACGCATCTTTCCCCTTTTCCTTCCCTTTCCTTGTGTGTTGAGAGACTTACTCTGTCCTGCACATTAGTTAATTTTCTGTTTTGCAGATTAATGGTGGTTACTGCTACTGCTTGGGTTTTTTTCTTAGGGGCAGGTATTTTGGGAATAGGCGGAGTGTCCTCAATGTCACTAAGACTATCTACAAAATCCAAATGTGTTTTTTTCATAATATTACGTTTTTTTCTCTTTTCATCATCTGATGAATCCTCTACTTGAGAATGTTCTTCCAAATTTTTTAACATCTTTCTTGCTTTCTCATAACTGTCTGTAATATATAAGTAATTTGAAACATGTGAATTGGTATTTTATTATTTATAATAGGGTTTCAGTTTAAGTATCGTTATCAAAATTAGGAATATACTTTAGAGGTGACAGTTTCCTTCAACAGAAATAATTCAAAACTAATTTAATAAATACCTAAGAGAAAAACTTACCAGTTTTATATTTTACTATGATTGGACAGGTATCACAATCATTAATTTTCAAAATGTTGTGGTCCTTGATGGCTTTGTCTCTGGTGCTGTCATTTTTAAAGTATTTTGGCCAATAGCAATAAATATTGCCATCCTGCTCGAATATCCAGCTACTCGAAATAATTCCAATTATGGGACATTGCCCTTCGTCCTCAGGGAATTCCACTACAACATATCTAAAACACAAAATTAAAAATTAAGAAAAAACAAAACAAAAACCATCTTGCAATCTAAATTTATTAATAGAAATGCAATAAATTAACAAACTAAATTTAATAAACCCAATTATTTCTATACCACGCTACTTTCCCCTAATAATTAAAAATGTACAACCACTTATGCAAATCACTTCCACATAATACCATAACTTGTCAGATGTAATATATTTATGGGGTCAAGGTATATTTCCACAATTTTATTACCTTTTTTTCAATTTCGCCAGTGTATTTAGTAGTAACAAAAGCAGAAGTAGTATGTAATTATTCTCAAAAACTTGCTGTGAGGTGATGCAACTTAAATATATTCTCAATGATTTAATTAGTTAGTACTTGTGAGTGAATTCAAAAAACAAAAAAAAACCTTTTTTTAACAATGTCAAACTAGAACTAAAACGTGTAGTATTCAATCTAAAGCCAACAATATATACATAATAAATTTTAATATATAAAAGTATGTATCTAATCAAAATGATTTAATGGACACACAATATATGTTTCTGTCATTTTTAACAACAAACCTTTAAATTTGATGTCTTTCGCAGAATGTGTATATTCAACTATGTCACCTTCAATGCTATTTATTGAAACTTCATAAAGGTGAATGATATCACTAGCTGTTGGATAATCTAAAAACGGCTTTATTTTTTGTAAATGGCGGCCTTTAAAGTATATTTTATTATTTTTTTCAAATATTGACTGGATATATAAAATTGTTGAATCATTGTCGTTTATGAAAGCACAATTATTACCCGAATCTATTGTCCACACAGTGTTGTTGACACAAGTTTTCCTTAAAAATTTTATATTTTCAGTAGATCCTTCAGATACATATATATTTTTTTTATATACACCAGTGTGAATTGGTTTCCTTCCCTCCAAAATTCTATTCAGCACTTGCTGTAAACAATGATTAGATTTACGTAGTGAGGTTTTCAAGAAATAAAGATGGTTTTCAAATGGAAAGCAACTAATATCATTTAATGATTCAAATTTTTGAGCATCTGAAGCTAGATGTATTAATGAATGAACATTATACACACAGAACTCTTTACCATATATTTGTATAGCATTTTTTACAAAACTTATTAGTAACTTATTCGCATATTCATTATAAAATGAATTCAAGTCTTTATTCAATAAAATTGTCACTGCATATTTTAATAACATTAAATTACAGAACATATGCTCAGGTAAAATATCGTAGAGAAGAGGAGACACATACAAAATAAACTGCCTTAATTCTGATGCCTTCCAATAATCTAAATACTGTAAAGACCTTGGTTTACGATTAAATTCAATTGGCCAACAATTTCCTAGTTCTTTAATTTTCTTCTCTAATAAATTATATTTCTCATTTAAACGTACTGATCGATTACCACTTTTCCAAATAAAAAGCATTTTTCTGACAACCCCTAAGCATATGCAATGCATATAATCTATTGGAAACATTGAAACCATTTTAATATTTAAAATTGTTGCCAATGGTGTTAGACCTTTGTAATATTTTCTATATGCATTGCGTAGTTCATCATCATCGCTTTCAGATGAATCAGTTTCATAATTTAAATAATAATTTTATCCCAGTCGGTATCTAATCGTAAATTTGCCTGTAGGTTACAAAAAGCTAGAGTTCCATTTTCCTTTCTGCCTTCAACAACACATTTATCACAACCATATTTTGCAGTATGTCCTACAACATTTTTTATAAAAACTCGAGCTGAATAGTCACAAATAAATGCTCTGACAATGATATTTAGTTTAGTTGTGTTAATCATAATACCATTTTCTATATATCTATTCAGCTCATCAACAAAATCGATAAAAAAACAATTTAATGGGGGTTTACTCTTGCCTGAAAATATAGCAACCACAAATGGAGGTTCATCTTTGTACTCTAATATACGGCACAATATAGGCCAAAATGATTCTTTGGAACTTTTATGGATTGGAAGTCCATCTATATTAAATATTAAATTATAATCAATATACTGTGTGTCATTATATTTATTGTAAACTTGTTTGATACCAGTTTCAATCCCAAAGTAATAAAAATTGCCATCACCCATAACCCTTGTACAGCTTTTTGAAGGTGTATTTAATAATGTTCTTGCATCTAAAGGAAGGCTGTTTAAATCAGGTGACGTATTTAACCATTTTAAAAGCTGAGTAAGGGCTGTATGAGTAACGTTGTTATTTAAGGACCACTCTTTTAAGAATTCCTTTGAGCTTTGAACTTGTTGTCCTTGTTGATTTAAGTTATTAAAATCTGAATCAGAGGTTGAAGGAATATAACTATTTGAATTTGAACTATCTGAATCTGAACTATCTGAATCAGAACTAATTAATACTGAATCATTGTTATCATTCGAGTTAGATGTTCTATTTAAATCATTGAGAATACCACCATAGTTTGCATTACTACTACTACTACTACTGCTGCTGGTAATTTTACTACTACTGGGAATATTGACCAAATGATGACTTTCACTACTTATCATTTCACTAGAATTTAGTATGCCAGCTTCAATCTCAAGTGTAGAAATTATACTAGAAGCTGTTTTTTTGGCAGCTCTTCGTAACTGTCTCGCCGTTTTTCTTTTAAAAAAGTTTCTGTATACAACAAAAAAAGGTATTTTTTAAAACTATTGAGTAATTTTGCAACCCCGAAACACGAAAATAAAAGATTTTTAATAACAAATGGAAATAAAATAATCTACTTACTTTTTAATATCCTGGCTCATTGTCGAAATCACAGACTCGAAATTAATAGGTAACTAAAATTGTCTTAAACTTAAAACTGCATTAAACAAACACCGACCAGAGGTCAAGAAAAAATCATGAAAAATTGAGGTTATTGTTTCTTATTGGAATTAGGCATTCCAACGACCTGTCAAACAATAGGTGTCAGTGGGAAATTCTTGTATATTTAAGGGGGTAGCGACATAGTCTTGCAACTTGGACGCTATTTTTATTCGAAGTAGTACTCGCCAAGCCTGCCAATTTATGAAGAAATGTATAGGTGGGGTTTTTAAATATTATTTTTATTGTGTTTGACATAAAATATTTAAATGTAATCCATTATTCATGATTTTACGTAAAGTAGATAGAATACACCATATGTCGCCACCCTTAGATATACCAAACCTGCCCACTGGTAATTCATTTGTTTGGAATGCCTAATTAGGCATTCCAACGACCTGTCAAACAATAGGTGCCAGTGGGAAATTCTTGTATATTTAAGGGGGGTAGCGACATAGTCTTGCAACTTGGACGCTATTTTTATTCGAAGTAGTACTCGCCAAGCCTGCCAATTTATGAAGAAATGTATAGGTGGGTTTTTTAAATATTATTTTTGTTGTGTTTGACATAAAATATTTAAATGTAATCCATTATTCATGATTTTACGTAAAGTAGATAGAATACACTATATGTCGCCACCCTTAGATATACCAAACCTGCCCACTGGTAATTCATTTGTTTGGAATGCCTAATTGGAGGGATAATAAAACGTCAATCGTCAATACGTCAATAAGCACCAGTGCTACCAACACTTATTTTTGAATTATATTTGCAAGGGCTACCATCCCAAATTTGTAACTGACGTCAACGTGCGGGCCGGGCCGCAACTGAAGAATTTTTAATGTACCTTTGCATTACAATTCAGCAGCGGAAAATTTAAGTTAATATTATTAAGGCCCTTAATAAACAAGTATACAATTCGCCTAAAGACTAGAACCGCTTAAACATTATCATCGCTATTATGGCGGCCAGCCGCTGCCGCTTGTGTGCCAACGATTGCAACGTCGGCCCGCTGTTTGTGCTCAAATTCATGTTTGCTGGGGTTCCTCAACTGGAAACTATGTCACATTCTAAACCTTCTACATTTGAACAAAAACTATAAATAATAAAAATGTTTTTTTGTCTTTGTTTAATTAATTTGAATATTGAAAGTGTTAGTAAGGGAACCAATAAATTTTGTAATTTTTTAATTACCTATTCATATTTTAATAACACAATAATATATGTAATTATTATGATATGATTTTTCTTATTGTCTAAATTAAAATAGGTTTGATTTATCTCAAGTGAATGTATATTATATTTACTTATTATATAGTTACACGTCACATAATTAATTTAATTTCTAAATTGTGTAGTAGGAAAATGGTTGCCAGTCGCATCATTCTGAAAATATCTAATTCGTATTCTTGGAGACTAACAGCCGTATGCATAGTCGATCGCCAGCGACTCGCCAGCGATTCGCTGGCGATCCGCCGGCGAAAGCCCAAAAAGCTGGCGACTCGCCGGAGATTGTCACCGGAATGTCATTTCACGCAAGTTTTCATGTTCTTTTATAGGGAAAAATTTGATATTCGTTCATTATTTTTTGAGTTTTAAGAAATGAATCATGAATAAAACGCGAGAGATACCGGTGATAATCCCTATAAAAGAAAATAAAAACTTGCGTGAAATGACATTCCGGTGACAATCTCCGGCGAGACGCCACCTTTTTGGGCTTTCGCCGGCGGATCGCCAGCGAATCGCTGGCGAAACGCCGGAATGAATCTCTGGCGAGTCGCTGGCGATCGACTATGCATACGGCTGTAAGTCTTTCAAAGTCATCCGTTTTTTCCACAGGTACAGTCTGAAGAACATCTAAAGCATCCCCTTGAAAGGCGATGCATTTACTGACTTTTCTCGTTCAAACGTCCACGACGAGATTAAAAAATAATTGGGCAGTATAAGAACCGATAATTGGATCAATCTCTTAAGGCTAAGACACGCTAAGATACTTCTGGGTGAATATAACCAGGAAACCATTGCAGGAAACATCGGAAGCCTGTGTGAGATCTGTATACCCATTTATAAATGGTAATGGTAGTACCCGTGACGCCATCTATCTTTCAGCATCATATAAGTTTCTCCTTATATCACAGTCATCTGTAGTCTGTGACCCCGTAGGATTATAGATCGTACGTAGATGCCGCCACGAGTACTAAATAAGAGTCAGATGCGCATTGTCTTGTATTACAAGTTCGTATTTCATCTTGAGTTTTGTCTTGTATTATAACCATTACTGAATTACTGTGTTTATCAGAATACTAGAGAATAAAAGCTTACAACAAGGTGTTGTTTTATTGAGTAGTGTATAAATAAGGCATACATCACAGCCTGCATCTGCCTGAGCAAGAACAGGCTTCTTATTGTAACAGGGCATTATCGACTTAAAGGACACTTTAGTAAACTAAGAGTAGTAGAGGATAGTGAGTGCAGATTCTGTGAGGAGGAGGACAAAACCTCCATTCACATTCTAACTAAATGTGTAGTACTCCAGAATCCAAGGGCACTATACCTAGTAGGAGGATATCAAATAGAAAAGAGAGAGATTTACCTAACACGAACCCAGACAACACACCAAATCCCAGAGATATCCACAGAATATCTATTGTGGATATCCAATATATCCACAGGATATCAGAAATATTCCATGGATCTAATATGGATATCCAAATGTCCGTCTATATCCAGAATATAGAAGATATCCTATGGTTATTCAGCAAAATATCAAATGAGTATCTTCCAGACAATACAAGAAATCCCAGAGATATCCACAGAATATATTTTGTGGATATCCAATATGGATATAGAATTCAGATATTCAGCAAAATATTTTATAGGTATCTTTAGTAGAGGTTCATAAGTAACCAATGATTATTGAATAACGTCGAAAGAAAATAGAGATAAAAAATATTTCCAACAATCTGCCTTTGATTTTGCCCACTAAAAGGGCACTAAGGAGAAAGTCATGCTTATTAGGACTCTTCAGCAATAAATGAAAATTCTCGACAAATCTCGACTCCAGTCTCTAATAGAGTCTGATTGTGAAAAAAAAATTCGATCGAACTCATTTACGGAGGGTTGAGCATGAGTAGATACGAAAGTGGTATCGCCATCTATACTTAGGAAGCAAAATCAAAAATTACATCTAGTAGATATCCACGATGGTTTGCGTCCGCGCTTAGACTTTGATATATTTATATTTATAGTGGATGTCCAAGGGATATTGAATACACCTTAAAAAAATTAATTTTAAATATCTGAACGGTACTATTAGCCACAAATGGCGAACACAATGGCGTAATTTTTTAATAATTTGCTATATAATTACTATTATTTATGGACATTTGCATGTCTATAAATTACATTTCATGGATATAAAATAGATACCCACCATGGACTGGACATTCAGTGGATATTGGGATGTTCAGTAGATATCCAAAGGATTTGGTGTGCTGTCTGGGAAGCCACTCCAAATCCTACACTTCCTTGGGAAGATAGGATTGGAAGGGTCGTTATAGGCATTGAGACATTTCCTTGGTGCATTAGCGACAGTAGGGGCACAATAGATCTTTTAGGTCGCAGTGTATTAACACCCCATCCCAACAACATCTCAAGTG